CCCCAAAACCCCAAAACCCCAAAACCCCAAAACCCCAGGAAGAGTTTTAAGGATTGAAACAATAGGATTCAAATAATAAAAAGGCTGAAGTTTGTGGAGAATTTAAATATTCTCAAGAAGGTATTTGCAGAACACATCTACATACTCAAGATTTCAGATCTTGATATCTTTTGTTAAATATTTAGATGGCGGAGCAATAGGTGCTCTATTTGGTAGAAATATTGAAAGGATTCAGAATCAGAAAATTGAAGAAAATATCAATTAAAAAGATACTCCTGGGCTCTTTGATTTCTGATAAATTAGCAAAAAAGATAAAGTAAAATTTCAATCCTTACCAAATCAACGGCATTAATATTTGCCATTCCAGTATTCCATCAACAAGGAGTGCTCATAAGTAAATTCCTGGTGTGAAAATTAGGTGCTAAAGTAAGATTAGGACCCAAAATCCCAAAATCTCCAAAACTCCCATAAAAATCCATAATCCCTCTAAATACCCAAAGTATACCTTAAGCCCCCTCTAGGAATTCTCAGCTACCCAGTCATCTCCCACATACCGATTTCCTTATTCCCAAATCTCATGGGTTTCCTCTTTTCCACAGTCATTCCTTCATGACAAAGCATATCCCCTCTCTAAGACCAGAGCCAGGCAAGCCTGGCTCTGGTCCTCATAATTATTGGATGAGCTGACTTCAGGAAGTCTTGAGTGGAAATTAGGCAATTCTCTGAACACGTTTTGGGAAATCCTCCTGTGAAGTCTGGAATTTTAGGGGAGGGAATGGGACCTGAGTGGGAGGAATAGGGGCTAGAATGGGGAAAGTGAGGTTTTGGGGGTTTTGAGTTTTTTTGGATTTTAAAAATATTTTGAGTGAAGCCTGTCACCATACGCCTGAAATTTAGGAAATTAAGTTTACTTTGGAGGTGAAGATGCTGAATCGGGAGGATGAAGAAGCTTGGTTATTGACTACATAAGATCTTTGGTAAACTCAACAAAAAATATTTAGAATGTTGTAGTTAAGCAGATAAGGTTATTTACTAAAATGTTTGAAAGATTAGAATAATTTGATTTTTCGATATTTTTCAATAATAATCCAAACCTCTGGGGTTTTGGGGTTTTGGGGTTTTGGGGG